ATGTTACTGAGTCTTTGGTATTTGATAAGATTTCCTTTGTGGTCTAGCAAGAAATCAATTTTTGGCTTACATATACGTAGACTAGATTAAGCTAGTTGATTGGGTTGTTCAAACCTTCAATAACTATACTAATTTTTAACTTTTTAGTCTATTAATTACTGAGATTTTTAAAAACCTACGACATATAGATTTTCAAATGTCTCTTTATAAATCAATTGATTTCTGCTTTAAACATATTTGAGGCCATGTTATTAAATACAGTTGACCTTTGAACAATGCAGGGAGCTAGGGGCAATGACTCAATGCAGTTGAAAATCCATTTATAACTTTTGACTCCCCAAAACATACCTACTACAGTTGTCTCTCGGAATCTATAGAGGATTGGTTCCAGGATCTCCGGAAGATGCCCAAATCCACAGATACTCAAGTCTCCTATATAAAGTGGCATAGATCAATGCATATATTTGGTAAAGGGTAGATTTTTTTCTAGATATGCTTTAGTGAAGACATAACCGCTTGATAGTTCCAGGTTTATAAAGGGGTCTCAGTTCCAACTGTTCACCTTAGGCAGGCCCGTGGCCTCATCTCCCATCCCCATATTTAGCTACAGCATCAACTTATTCTTTCTCCTTTGGTTTTCATAGTTTCTCCACCTCATTCCCTTTATTCCCCCATGGGGAGTGCATTTGTTGCAATTAGTAAAAGGAGCTTTCTAGTAAGAGGGCTTCAGGTTATTTAATATCAGCAGGACTGAAAGTTTTCTAAATTGTACTTTATAACCGCATCTCACTAATGCTTTTGCCTTTCTGAGCAAAGAGATCAAAAAGCTGAAAGCAGGATTTGCGATAGGATGGAGAAAAGGGTAGTGTGTTCCTTTTCTTTGGAGGATATCTTAATTCTACCACCTCCGAAGGGGAGGATGAAAATCACCATCGTACCCTGATTTTTTATATTCTTTTTGCTTTATTTTTTTCTTCTCTCTCTATTTTTTCCCTGGAGGCAAAAATCAGGGACAGGAGATTCAGGGAGCTTAAGAGGGTAATCAGTGAAAGAACACTGCTAATGATAATAATGGCATTAATAATGAGTCTACATTTATTGACAGTTAAATAAGCCAGCACCTGAGCAAAAGCTTTACAAGTGTTCTCTCTTTGAAATCTGAAAAATCTATGAGGCGCTGGATGTTAAAATGCTAAGCAATTTGCTCAGGGACACACACCTAGGAAGTGGTAAAGATCCCAACATTAGTCATCCAAAGCCAGAGCCCTCAATAGCCGGCACTCCCCCTCAAACATTCCTGGTTGGATGTTTAAATTCCTATTTTTTACTTAATACTCACTTTATGTCTTCCCCCTCTCCACATACATACACGTTATCTATTTAGCTTTTTCATGTAGATGGCAAAGTGATATAATGTAAATATATAGATTTCTGGAGGATTACTCCTGATTGTGCTTCAAGACAGAGCTGAGGTGACACCTTCTCCATGAGGCTTTCATGGATGCCTACAGGCTAATTAGGTGAACCTCTCAGGGTTTCTGTAAGCACACTGAACCACAATAATTTCATTCTATGAGTCTCTCCTGCTGGTCTATGAATTTCTCAAGAGTAGAGACAATTTCTTCTTCCTTTTCGTATATCAAGCACAGAAGTGACACTTGGTAAATATCTGATAAATAAATGAATGGATGAATGAATGAATGAAAATTGTCCTTCATGGAGATCAGGGCCTCACCTAAACATATTTCCAAGGATGGAGATGTTTATTATTCTTATAAAATAGTAATTCATTCTACCTTTATTCTGAAAATACGCAACCACCTCTCTGGAGATGCATATTTTTCTGATTTATGTGTAAGTCTGTTTCAAAATTACTAAGGTGTCACAGGAAAAATATGGCTGCACCTAAGGTCCTATAGCCTTACTCAGCTCAGCGTTTTCCTGGGCCTAGGGAGATTTGTTGCCTCGTGGCTTCAGTATAACTACGTGTCTTCCATCCAGTTATAAGGAACATTCTGTTTTGCCTTGTGCCCAAGCATTGCTCTCCCCTGTTGTGACAGTATGACAACCAGATGTTGCTGCCTCTGTGGGTGGCCTCTCTGGGAAACCCTGTGAAATTTTTGCAAAATGATGCATTTATCCTGAAAACAGCATTTTGATGTCTTTTTATTCTTTGTCCCAAAAGGAGACTTTTATGGGGATGTCCTTTTAAAAAAATATAACAAATCCAGGCACAGGTATAAACCCACCTGCTAAGGCTAACACTGTAGCAACTTTGTTTCCAGTTCATTAAAGGGGATGAACCATCTTGCTTTCTCAGAAATAACACCAAGATGTCTCAGTCACCTGAATCCTATTAAACCATACCATGCTTCATGCACCAAAGAGTTGCTGGAACTGTTCTTCCCCCTGTCCTTCCCCCCTCCCCCCACCAAAAAAACCCACATATACTCAGGAACACAGTTCTTTTTAAGTAAACCCAGATGGGATGTGTTAGTATCCCTCCTGCCATTCTATAACAAATCTTTGTAATTAAATAACAAATACTTATTATTCTTGTGCATGCAGAAGACAGAAGCTTTTCTCAGCATGGAAAAGTGAGAGAGGTGAGAGTTGAGAGGATAGAGATGAGCAGAGCAGTAGTTTCTTCATACTTAGGTGAAGTAGAAAGGTTATATTCAAGGTGGACACAGCAGGGCTTGTCTGGGGAATCTCACTGATCTTAAGCTTCTGCTCTGTTAGTTGATCAGAGAAAAAGAGGCTCATGGTTAAGAGCACAGACCTCAGACAGACCTTGGTTTGGACCCTATCTCTGCAACGTCTAGCTGTGTGATGCTATACAAATTACCAACCTCTCTGAACTGCAGTTTGCTCATCAGTAAAATGAGAATAAGTATTCCTATATCACAGGGTTGTCATGAACATTAAATGAGAAATCTGCTAAGTCCTAGGTACAGTACTTGGAATATAGTAACTAACTATAATTAATAATCGCATGCAGTAAGAGCTGTTGTTGTTATTGTTTATGGAAAACAGAAGTAGTCTCACATAATGAGGAGATGCATTTTTGTCAAGTGGTACTAAGGGGCCCACAGACCAAAATAAGTTCTCATCCATTATCTTATCATGGTGCCTATTCCTCCCCACTAAAAAGCCACTATCTAAGGGCCATCTGGAGACATGTGTTTGCTGGATTAAGGAATTGCGATGCTGAGGCAGGCAGATAGCAAGAGGTATCTTATATATTGTCAAGGATTTATTAAGAGGACTAAAACCCATTACCAGTCAGTGTCACATTGAATAAAGTCAGATGCTAAGAGAATCAGACAGAAAACAGGTGAGTTTTGATGAAAGAAAAGGGCAAGGAAGAAGTAATGAATGGTCCAAGGCATAGAACGATACTGCAAAGGGAAAACCTTGGAGCTCAGGTCACCCATGGAGCATAAAATAGGAAGGAAGAATGTTTCTGAAAAGGTGCTAGGAGAAGACTGGAATCCAACTTTGTTAGCTTTAAAATTTGGCTTTAGGTGAGAATGAAAGAAAAGACAAATATTTTGAGAATTGGAGCCATTTTTAAGATTCCTATTGAGTAAAGTTGTATAAAAATTCATGAGTAATCATGAATCCTCATCTTGCATTTCATTTTAGGATTAATTCAGGCTGCATACAAGAACAAAATGCAGGAAATCTTAAGCCCCTGCAATGAACTGTGGTAAAATCTTATGAGCAGTGATGGTCCCGGCCCATAAAATTTCTCAAAGTGCACCTCCGGACCTTGCCCCAGGTTTACTCATGTCCGGAGCTGAAAGTTATTCTGTTGCATGAGGAACTGGCATGCAAGTTCTGGGCCTGAACAAGTCGCTTGCCCAACAATATGTACTATGTCCATATCCTGTTCAAGACAAAAAATTGACCCTAGTGAGTAAAACCGAGCTCATATGCAAAAGCCACAGAGAGATAACTCTTAGCCCAATATTAAGAAAGGCATCCTAACAGAGCTGTTCAAAGGATAGACTATAAGGTAGTAAGATATACCCATCACCAAACGTTTCGAGCAAGAGGCTGGCTTATAGAAATTCATACATTAAAGAGGAAATTGGACTCGATGAGTTTAAAGTTCACTTTGTTTTCCAGTACTACAAAATAGAAGGTATGACCTACAGTTAAAATACATTTATAGTTTAACCAAAAAACAGAAATTATGGAAATAGCATATCCAAAGCAACATATAAAATGAGCCAAATTAAAGGTCTAAAAACCCAGTATGGCAATTCCAAAAAGCAGCTCTCCTGAGAATATTCAAGAAAAATCAGAAATTTCTTCACATCCGAAGGAGTTTCATTCTTTGCATAAGCAATAATTAGACTGGGATCCCGGCAGTGAGGGTAGAGACAAGGTACACAGAAGATTCAGAGTCAAAGGAATTAGTACACAAACTTTCATGCATTCCCCACCAGATTTCAACTTAAATATAGTACTTGTCATAATGCTTGCCATAAAAATAATAATAATGACCTCAAACAAATCGTTGCTTTGCCATAAGAAAAATCAGATATGTTTGAATTCTGCCCTGTTTGTGCACACCATGAGTCTATTCCCAATATTCTGCTTTGCTTTGCAATAAATTAGAATTCAAAGTCATGATTTGCCAACTTAATTGCTAATTCAAATGACAGAATCTGTGACCTCATGATTTCCTGTGGGCTTTGAAATCATTACTTATTCATTTGTCATTTCTGATAGTGTCTGAGAATCAGATTAGAAAAGGTATTCTTTGTCCTGCCAACATACATCAGCTGGAAACAGGAAATAGAGATAAAAATTAACTAGGGTCTTTCTACTCAGTATGGCCCAAAGACCAAGCCACATCAGTATCACCAGTTCCTCCCACTTCCAGATCTACTGAATCAGAATCTGCATTGTAAGAAGATTCCAGTGATTTGTATGTACCTTAAAATTTGCGAAATCTTAAACTAGGGAACAATGATTCTGTTGCTCACCTTCTGACCTTCACCACCTGAAAGCTTTCAGAAGAAACAGCAACCTCTGGAAAACAAAAAGCGGAGGATTGTAATCATTATTAGAAACATCAATCAATGCTGGCATTGTTTCACAAAATATCCTATTGTTCACATTTTAAGCCAGGCTTAAAATGGGCTCATAGAGCCACTGGCACGTTTTGACCCAAATCAGCTGATTGGCCTACCTTATTTACTAGACTTCCGGGGGAAAGGAGTGATCAACTAGTGGTCATTGGCAACGCCAACAGGAATCTCCAATTTGAGGTGTAGGGAGGGAGGGAAACTTTATTCAGTACAAACAGCTCAACTGTGACACAGCGTGCTGTGGAACAGCTCAACAATGTTACAGCTCAGTTGGGAAACAGCATGTCTGGAAGGTGGCCCTGGGGCCAGGCCCCTCTCCAGCTAGACGGCTCTGCTCTGCTCCACCTGCTCTGGTCCACTCCGCTCTGCTAAGGCGAGACATTTTAAGTGCTTCATCTTCCATGTTTCATCTCCAGCTGAAAACCAGCAGTGAACAGCCTTGAGTGGAAAGGGAGGTCTCTGAGCCAGAGGGGAGCTGACTTATATAAACAGAAGTCCCCATCCCAGTCCCTGACTGGTCCATCCCCATGCAAATGAGAACACCAAATCCTTGAAGTTTGTTTGGTCCAATAGACACTGTCCTGATTGGTCAGAATAAAGCCACTCTGGTCAGTGAAGAAGCTGATGGGGATATAGCTGCTGCAGCTCAGATTAGGGAAAGCCTCAATCCTGTTGGTTGAACTATTATTCCAGGAACTCCTTTATAAGGGCTGGCTCAGGTGGCAGGAACACAGTGTAGGCAGTTCAGTGCAGGCTTCTCCCTAAAGTGCAGTTTGTGTGAGAGGCCCCTGTTTAAAAATGACTTCTAGGTTCTGTTTTTAAATTTGAGTGGAGTTAGCCATCAGGAGTCCTTCTTGGCAGCTATCTTCTTTCTCAGGGTCCACAGAGCGGAAAGCCTTCAACAAGTGTCTCTACAAGGAAAGGCAGCTGTTTCTCATAAACTGCAATGAATGAGCCTAGCAGGGCTTCATAACTTGCATCCTCTCTGTCAGCAGAGAAGTCCCTTCCTGTTGAGGTGACTTCTGAGCAAGTACTTTTCCATTAGCCGCAGTGAGAGCATGAATGTGGCAACAGAGGGGAGTTTTGTGAGCCTCCAGGTGTGAGAAAAACACAAAACAAAAATAAAGTATTTCCTAGTATACTTCCTCAATTCAAAAAGGCCATTGGTTGCAGGAAATACCATAGATTTAATAAATAGCTTTTCAGGAGGGTTGCTCAACACTTCTTTAAATAAGTCACAGTACAGATGTCAAATTATAATGTACACCTGAAAATTATGTAATTGTATTAACCAATGTTACCCCAATAAACTTAATTTTTTAAGATAAGAATCTAAAAAAAAAAGTCACAGACGTGTCCCCATTTTTGAAAAGTAAAATTGAGGAGGGCAGGAAAAAACCTCAGAATCAAGAAAATGTGGCAGATTTGCTTGACAATTTCATTGGCCAGTTTTGCTAACGGATATTAGCAATGAAGTCATTACATGGGTCCATGCAAGTGTATGGGAAAAAATGATTTTTACTGTTTTCTGTAGGCATCTGTTTTGCTTCAGGACTGAAAGACAACCTGAAGGCCTACAAAGATGAGAAATAACAAGATTTCACCTTCTTCAAATAAATTTGGATGGAAAATCTGATAAATCTAAGAGCTTTGTGCTTCTACAAAACTTTGCCTTTCATGATCTGGGGCCTGATTCTGGTCACCTAAAGATCATCTGACCATGGGCATATATGTGTGGGGTAGAGAGGATGATAGTGGTCAGAAACAGAGAGAGAAACCATGGTCCTAAAAGAGGACAAAAATTGTCCTCCAAACACATAGTGTCAGTGAAATTCTGCCTCCCTAACTGCCAAGTCGGGGTCTTTCACTCTCTCGTACCTCCTTTACACCAGTTTGAGCCTTCCGGTGTAATAGTCAAGCTCTTTTAAACGAGTAAGATTCCTCTCACTCTAGCCCTAACATGAGAAAAGCACAGCAGTTGAGAACTACAGAGAGTGCCTCCAGGAAATCCAGAGTTCTAAGTGCATGCCAAAGCTACACGATGTACTTCCCCATCCTGCTGCGGTACACAGCTCCTGAAGCAATCATTGCCATGTGTCCTAGAATTCACCATGAATCGTTTTTGCTAATAGAAAAGCACTTTCTTTCCAGGCCTTCTGGGAAGTTGTTTTCTACCTTTTTTTTTTTTTTTTTTTTTTTGCTTTTAGAGTGATTCTACATAAATACTAGAATGTTCCATTAACTAAATTTATCATAAAGTCAGAAGGAAGAATCCTATTGGTTAATGAGTGGGGAAACGGGTGTCACAAGGAACTGTGGTCATATTTGCTTTTATAGACCTTACGTAAATTTTAAAAATAAAGAAAAATCCAAGTGGATATTATTTTTAAAGGGCAGAAGTTTTTTCACGAATTCTTTATAGAGTCCTCAAACTTTCAAGGAGAGACATCCCTAGCTTCTCTTTCCCCTGAATCCTAAAGCTCCCTCTAGTGACCAAGATCATAACGCTAGCTACAGGTACAGACAGTAAATATTTTCTAAAGCCTCTTGCTTTTAGATAGCACCTTGAAGTTTCTATAGCATTTTTTTTCACATACATCTGATCATTTGACACAAAAACACTAGGAAGTAAAAAGTACCCTTTCCCCCATTTAATAGATCAGTAAACTGAGTCCCAAATGGGGCCCAGACTTGTACAATGTCACATGGGTGGTCATAAGGAAACTGGAATAGAGGCCAGGCCTTCCATGTGGTTCTGCCTCACTACCTCATGTTCTGTGATAATTATGTAAAGTTATCCATGAATATTCTCATAGAAAGCACTCATTGAAGCACTTTCAAGGGATTTATAGGATTCTTGACTTTGGGGGTTCCTTTGAGAATCCGATGAGGGTTATGGGCCCACACCTACACATTTTTCCATACAACAGCAGGACATCCGTGCGCCACTCTGAAGGGTAGCTACTGACCCTCTAGGACTCTAGAGACCCCAAGTTAGGAAACTGTAAACATCTATCAGATATAATCTTGAGATGTCAAGAATTCAAAGAATATGAACTTTGAAGTTCTTTACTTTCTCTTATGTTTTCCATGCCTATCCTGTTGTTCAGAGTATTTGAAAGAATTGAACAAATTAGTACATATTTGCTAACATTTAAGGAAAAGCCGGTGGATATTGCCATCAAGGACATCTAGCATTCCCGTAGGCATGCCTGGGATTAGTGGCAAACTAGGATGGTTCTAGGAAAGTAGTAATTTAGGAGCATTTTTTCAAATATAAGAACATACCACAGTCTCACCAGCTGGCTCTGTGGAGAGTCTAAAGAAGCAACATAGTAAATAGACAAAGGATTTTTTTCAGTGAACAAAAACCAATACAGCCTCTAAATTCTTAGCTCTTTTCATCCTGGCATTTCCAATGGCTTTTGAAAAGACCAAATGAACACTGATGGTTTGCTAGTTCACATAAGTCTCTTTCATGTAAGCTCCATGTCTATTATAGATCAGTCGTATTCCCAACTAGCACTAATGCACAATCAAAAAAATATTTGATGAATGAATATGTGAAGGTCCTTCCCCCTGAGTCAGTCCCTCTGGGAACTTGCTTGCTTCCCTCTCTAATTAATCAGTAGCCTCTGGTTGCCTGGGTCCTTCCCCTAGAATACTCTACACAGGCAACCTCAGGTTCCGAATACATGGCTGCTCCTATGGAAAATTCTGTCCTCTATTCTGTGACCCGTTCCCACAGTCGACATTGGGTTACCAACCAATGTAAGCATGATAACAGCTTCCTGCCTTAACCCTCGTGGAAAATATTTCATAGTATTAAAATGAGTAAAAATACATCACTCTAGTGACTAGAACAACATGTATCCATCAAGGCAGACTAGTAAGAGTTCATCTAGTTAGGAAGGCCTTTTTGGATCATCTCTCATACCCTCTACTCATCATTCCCTTCTATGCCTCTGAGCTTTTGTCTCATGTAACTTTCCTGCCCACCTGGTGAACCATCACCTCAAGTGTGTCTTCTCCAGCTCTCCTCGTTAGCAACTCTCACCTGTTTAGCAGAGTTTGTACCTTTATGACTGTGCTATGATACTGTTAATATTATACATGTTGTTGTCCCCTCCTCTCCCATATGCGGCCCAATGAGGCTAGAGTTGCTGAATTCAAGAATGTACTGTTTCACTCTCCAACTTTTTTGCTTATCTTTCTGGCAAATACAATTTTTTTTTCAGAAGTTACTGACAACATCCCCATGAAAGCACAGGAGCTTCTCAATGAAGAGTTAAGGTCTGAGCCCCTGCAAAGTCGTGCTTTTGGGTACAGTTGGGGTCTTAGCACTACTGACCAGTCTTTTCACTCATGGTGTGCCTCTTTTCCCAATCGCCCTACTGGATATTTTATGTATCAAAGTTTCCCAAAATTTTGAGCATCGCCTTTGGGATGTTTACTGTATCAAAGTAGCACCTGAGCACAACTCAATAATAAAAAAAAATCCTATTAAAAAATGGACAGAAGACCTGAATAAGATACTTCTCCAAAGAGGAAATACAGATGGCCAATAGACATATGAAAAGATGCTCGAGGTCACGAATCATCAGAGAAATGAAATTTAAAACCACAATGAGATATCACCTCATATCTGTCAGAATGGCTATCATCAATAAATGAAAGAACAAGTATTGGCGAGGATGTGGAGAAAAGGGAAGCCTCATACACTGTTGGTGGGATTGCAAATTGGTACAGCCACTATGGAAAACAGTCTAGAGGTTTCTCAAAAAATTACAAATGGACCCAGCAATTGCACTTCTGGGTATTTATCCAAAGAAAACCAAAACAATAATTCGTAAAGATCTACGCACCCCTATGTTCATGGCAGCACAATTTACAATAGCCAAGATATGGAAGCAACCTAAATGCTCATCAACAGACAATGGGATAAAGAAGTTATGGTTCATATATACAATGGAATATTACTCAGCCATTAAAAAAAATGAAATCCTACCATTTTCAATGACATGAATGGACCTAGAGGTTATTATGCTGAGTGAAATAAGTCAGACAGAGAAAAATAAATTCTATATGATTTCACTTGTATGTGGAATCTAAGAGACATAAAGAACAAACTAATCAAAAACAGACTCACAAATATAGAGGACAATCTGGTGATGGCCAGAGGGGAGGAGGATTGGAGGTCTGGGAGAAATGGGTGAAGGGTTAAAGAAGTACAAATTAGTAGTTGATAGATGGTCCCGGGGATGGGGAGCACAACACAGGGAATGCAGTCATCGGAGACTGCATGGATGGTGGAGAGCCAGAGGAGAGAAACTTTGATACATAAAATATCCAGTAGGGCGATTGGGAAAAGAGGAGACTGCATTCCCTGTGTTGTGCTCCCCATCCCCGGGACCATCTATCAACTACTCTCTAGCTCATCTATCAACTACTCCCCATCCCTGGGACCATCTATCAACTACTATCTCTAGCCAGATGGTTGAGAGCCAGAGGAGAGAAAGAGCAGTTAGAGGGATCGTTTTATGAACTATAATAAATATCTAACCGATGTACTGTATACCTGAAACTAATAAAAGAAAATTTTTAAAAAGTAGCACCTGAGCTACTTACTGAATACCTTTCTTCAAATTAATTCAGTTTTTAAACAGCACTTTTGCTTCATAAATAATCTCCAAGAAATATTTCGTTATACTCATTTTCCCTAATTTATAATAAAATTTAAAATCTATCAAAATTAAAAAAAAACATTTGCATTAAAATAAACTCATAACTATGAAAATATAAAAAACTTCTCCTAGGTAACCATGAAAATCACCTCCAGGTGTCATTGGTGACATCTTTGCTCCACCGTGAAATTCTAAGTCTTTGCTACCATCCCCACGCCTTCTACCCAAACTGATCCCTTCATTCTCAGCACTCCCTCACCTTCTACATCCATGAAAAAAGAACCAATCAGACAACTCCCTCAAGCTTCTCACTGTATCTTCCCACTCAGAACACACCCCTGAAAGTACACCTGCCTTTGCTCCCATCTTGCCTCTTCCAGCTCTTCTTTCAGAGGATGTGTTGCCCTTCTTTCTGTTTAAGAAATGT